GATGTTAGAGCATTGAATCATGGTTCTGTTTGATAATGGTATCATCCTTCTGTTAGGGAATTGAATCATGGTTCTGTTTGATAATGGTATCATCCTTCTGTTAGGGAATTGAATCATGGTTCTGTTTGATAATGGTATCATGGTTCTGTTTGATAATGGTATCATGGTTCTGTTTGATAATGGTATCATGCTTCTGTTAGGGAATTGAATCAAGGTTTTGTTTGATAATGGTATCATGTTTCTATTAGGGAATTGAATCATGGTTCTGTTTGATAATGGTATCATGGTTCTGTTTGATAATGGTATCATGCTTCTGTTAGGGAATTGAATCATGGTTCTGTTTGATAATGGTATCATGTTTCTATTAGGGAATTGAATCAAGGTTTTGTTTGATAATGGTATCATGTTTCTATTAGGGAATTGAATCATGGTTCTGTTTGATAATGGTATCATGTTTCTATTAGGGAATTGAATCATGGTTCTGTTTGATAATGGTATCATGGTTCTGTTTGATAATGGTATCATGCTTCTGTTAGGGAATTGAATCATGGTTCTGTTTGATAATGGTATCATGCTTCTGTTAGGGAATTGAATCAAGGTTTTGTTTGATAATGGTATCATGTTTCTATTAGGGAATTGAATCAAGGTTTTGTTTGATAATGGTATCATGTTTCTATTAGGGAATTGAATCATGGTTCTGTTTGATAATGGTATCATGGTTCTGTTTGATAATGGTATCATGCTTCTGTTAGGGAATTGAATCATGGTTCTGTTTGATAATGGTATCATTATTCTATAAGGGAATTGGATCATTGTTCTGTTTGATGATGATATTATGATTCTGTCAGGGACTTGAATCATGGTTCTGTTTGATAATGGTATCATGGTTCTGTTTGATAATGGTATCATGCTTCTGTTAGGGAATTGAATCTTGGTACTGTTTTATAATGGTATCATTATTCTGTTAGGGAATTGAATCATGGTTCTGTTTGGGAATTAAATCATTA